CTTACCGCAGCCCTTACCCCCTTCACCACTTCTTTTACAAGAGGCCTCCTATAACTTAATCTCTAGGTTGTACAGAACACCTTTGCTGCAACTCTTTTTAACACTTCTGAAAAACATTTGTTTGTAAAAGGGTGCTGAGGACAGAGTTTTTAATAACAACTGACAGGGAATTATGTAAAATGTGCCGCACTTGCAGGAAAAAGGATGTGCATGTCTGCATTTTGTTTTTCACACCTCACAAATACATATTTGATAACTATAGATATCAGTAAACATATTATTAAATATGATTAGAAGTGACAATTCTACTTTAAGCAATTTGCTCGTAATTATTTAATACATTTTCACAGCCTTTTGCCTTTTTCCTGCAGGGTTGTCACATTTTTAACACAGTAAAGATCAAAATAATTTTATTGGAAATGCTTTTCTATGTGTTACATCACCCTTCACCCATCTTAAATGAAAGTACAACGGACGGACTGCTTGACTTTGTCTCATAAGTGCGATTTAAAGTAGACTATAACCCAAAATAAAAAATAAAAAGTTAATCGGTTCTACAATATGTAAGAAACAAATCCAACACATATCTTTAAAAATGCAACATATAATAATCAGATTTACAATGTTCCTTTTGCAAGAGCAAGACTGCAGCATCTTTAATTTATGCAATTATACGTGCAGGTTTGTCTCTTACTGTTCACACAGGGAACTTAAATTGTAAATGGGAAACAAATCCTAAATTTAAGATACCACTGGCACTTACTAATCCAAGTCAAAGAGAGACTATGTTAACATTTAATGAGGTTCTGTTATATTTAATGCAGCAGAAATCCAAGATCAAAGTATCATCCCTGTGCAAATCACTGCATTGCAGTTTAATTCCCAAAGCAAGCTACCAACTTATTGGTTTGTTCTTCTGAATCCTGAAACAGCATTTCCTAATTATTCCTTCTCATTCTTTCCGTCAGTGACTGTAAATAAAAATAAAAAATAAATAACAGTGTGTGTACTAGTATACAAACATTGCAGCTTAAACATGTAATGAAGTCTCCTTTACAAAAAACTAGACAGTTTCACTGTATTTCCCTTTATCTGCATATCCTAGGCCTAAAGCTATAGCCAAGAGAGAGTGGCAATCTTTAACTCCACTGATTATTTGTTAACCTTAGCGGCTATCACTTCTCACTGTAGAAAACATTTCTAATAGTCTGGAGACATGACTGCACTGTGAAGAAGAAGCCTTTTTAACTCTGGTGTACCCTCCCCTCTCTCCAGCAAGTCCTTCCCAATTTCCAACATCTTCTCCCCTAACCCTAGGACCTCCTCATATCTCTCACGCATCTCTCTAGTGTCTCCTCCTCTCCTCTTCCAGTTGAGCAGTTGGGCCAACTTACTTTACCACGTTTTACAACAATCGCATTTGGATTAACCCCTGTCAATGTCAATTCATATTTAACCCGATTGCTGTTGCAACAACAATAAAGTTCAGCCACAGCCAACCCTAACCTTTTGGTGGTCGAACTATCTGGATAGCTGGTACAGTGAACCTGAATGGTGATTGCAGCTTATTATTGCAAACAGCACACATTTTCACACAAATTAGCATGTTTGGGTATTATTGCATACTCTTGTTTATCCCCCTTTTCCAAAGGAAAACAGATTTTTTGCTATGTGTTTGTTCCTCTGTAATGTAAATGTTTCTCTTAAAGTGCCCTCTTACACATTATATATTGAATTCTAAAGGACAGAAATTACTTTCTTTTAACTATATGCATAACTAACTCAAAATTAAAGGGACACTCCATTGCCCAAATAAAATATAAATACATATACATACATACAGATATAAAATGAAAATGATGTATTTTTTCACTGGGGATATATCTAAAAACAGTTTGCAAACCCTGCATATCTTTTGTCTGCTGCCTTTGCAAGCTCTCCCCTTCTAACCTTGCCTAGACTTTCTGTGGCTGTCCAATCACAGACTTCCCAATACAGGTCAATGAAAAGTCTTTGTAAGTCAGGCGCTCTAGACAGTCAGCTGCATTGAGCTAATGAAACCAGGAAGTAACATTATCTGTTGTCTGCTTGAAGGCCAAGGGGAAGTATCGAGGTTAATTTATAAAATTGTCGATTTCTATGTAAATCTGAACTTTTTTGCCAAATACAAAAAAGATACTCTTCACATATAAAGCTTTTCAGCAAGCTAGAGTTGTTAAGCTAAAGTGACCCTTTAAGTGTGAATCACTAACCCTTACCTTACCCTAACGCTACACTATTAGTTACTATTACGATTACTATTAGTAGTGGTAGTGGTGATGGTGGTGGAGGCAGCAGTGGTGGAGTTGTCAGCAGTCCTCATGGTTGAAGAAGAGGTGTTCAGAGGCCATAATACTACTGCTGATTGTGGATTGGGGAACACCCCTTCCCCTACCCTTCCTTAATTTCCTTACATATTACAATAAATTAAGATAAGAATAATTGTGTATTGTGCAAACTAACACAACTTTATTAAGCAAAAGTTGAGTTTGTGTGATAAAACACACTCTAGAATCTATGATAAAATAAAAACAGCCTCTTCTATATTCCATCTCCATTTTCCTATGCTGCCAGCACTCTAAATCAAAAAGAAAACAAGCATGTTTTGAGCTTGTGTAAGTGGGTTCTCCCAAGAATCTGGTGCATTCAGAAAATCTGTATTCAATAAATAAATCTCCAAGTTTATTACACACCATATATATAAAAACCACAACACAGGACATACTGATGTGATAATGAGAGCAAAATGTCACATTGATACTGTAAAACATCTAATCAGGCCCAAAGGAGCTTATCACTAACAACCGAATTGGAGTGATTTGAAAAATAATTGTGAAAATTTACATCAAACTAACCAAACTACATAAGGGAAACCAGTGCAAAATGTGTGATTAAAGTTTAGGCACCCAAAGATTATTTAGCCTGGGAGCTACTGTAACAAATATCCAAGTAGTAAAAAAATAGTGAATCTCACTTAGACCCAATAGTATATCTCCAATGCGATTAAAAAAAACTAGAGTATGTCCTTAGCTCTTCCTAAACATTTAAGCCCCTATTACAAAAAATAATGGACACTTCTGGCCGTCCTGCTGTTTAGTATTCCTAACATAGCTTTTCCATTCCTATTACTCTGATCTTTATAAAGCAGATCACAATAACCCCAAGGAGATATTAAACTGTTATGTCAGGCAAACTTTCCCTGTTTATCTAATGCCCAAAGAGACTTCCGTAATGCCCAAATAACAAATCGCTGGGCTATTTATTTTACCAACTCCAGGTAAATTCCTGATGTAGAATGCCTCAGAACTGAATATTCCAAAATGTTACAACCACACCTACTTCGCTCCTTTAACTGACTAATATTAACTATATAGACCAGACTCCTTTAGGTGAATTAAAGGGACTCTATAGGCACCCAGACTGTGATGGGATTTAAGCTAGGCTCAAAATTTTGTAGGCCTGAAATCTCCATGAGGCATATACAAGTACAGGTATCTGCAGTGGCGTCGCTGGGGGGGGGGGGCCAGAGGGGGCCATGGCCCCCCCTACATCATGCTGTGCCCCCCCTTGGGCCCCCCAAATGCCAGCAACTGGCCATGGGCTTCCCTCGGGCTGTAACAAATGCAGGAGAGAGGTGCTGGGGGCTGTCTGTGGCTGGAGGGAGCACTGATTGGCTCCCAGGCACAGGCCCTGCCCCAAAATGAAGCCCCGCCTCCCGCAGATAAGCCCCGCCGTAAAGCAGCAGACCATGCTGCTGCAGAAGATGGCTGCCTGACCCCAGCAACAGCCTCCAGTGACAGGTAGGCCTGGGGGGGGGGTGTTCACACACTCTACACACACATTGCCCCCCATACACACACACTGCCCCATACACACACACCCCCCATACTGCCCCCATACACACACACTGCCCCCCATACACACACATTGCCCCCCATACACACACACTGCCCCCACATTGCCCCCATACACACATTGCCCCCATACTGCCCCATACACACACACTGCCCCACACACACACTGCCCCTATACACACACATTGCCCCCATACACACACATTGCCCCATACTGCCCCATACACACAAACTGCCCCCCATACACACACATTGCCCCCATACTGCCCCCCCATACACACACACTGCCCCATACTCACACATTGCCCCCATACTGCCCCCATGCACACATTGCCCCCCATACTGCACATACACACACATTGCCCCCCCATACTGCTTGACCCCCATACATACACACTGCCCCCCATACACACACACTGCCCCCTATACACACATTGCCCCCCATATACACACACTGCCCCAATACACACACATTGCCCCCATACTGCCCCCATACACACACATTGCCCCCCACACACTGCATACACACACACTGCCCCCCCCCCCATACACACACATTGCCCCCCATACTGTTCAGCAGTCTGTGTGTGTGTGTGTATGGACTCAGCAGTCTGTGTGTGTGTGTGTGTATTTACTCAGCAGTCTGTGAGTGTGTATGGACTCGGCAGTCTGTGTGTGTGTGTTCATGGACTCAGCAGTCTGTGTGTTCATGGACTCAGCAGTCTGTGTGTGTGTGTGTATGGACATAGCAGTCTGTGTGTGTGTATGGACTCAGCAGAGTCTGTGTGTGTGTGCATGGACTCAGCAGAGTCTGTGTGTGTGTATGGACTCAGCAGAGTCTGTGTGTGTGTGTGTGTGTGTGTGTATGCACTCAGCAGTCTGTGTGTGTGTATGGACTCAGCAATCTGTGTGTGCGTGTGTATGGACTCAGCAGTCTGTGTGTGTGTGTGTGTATGGACTCAGCAGTCTGTGTGTGTGTATGGACTCAGCAGTCTGTGTGCGTGTGTGTATGGACTCAGCAGTCTGTGTGTGTGTGTGTGTGTATGGACTCAGCAGTCTGTGTGCGTGTGTGTATGGACTCAGCTATCAATTACTGTCTGGGTATAATATCCCTGGACAGTCAGTGCTCTCTGTATAATACAGGGTTGTGTGTATGATAAATTGGGACACTCAGTGCTCCCTGTATAGTGCTGCTCTCTGTATAATACAGGTCTGTTTGTGTATAATATCCCAAGACAGGGAGCAGCACTATACAGGGAGCACTGACTGTCCCGGGATATTATACAGGCACAGGCCTGTATTATACAGAGAGCAGCACTATACAGGAAGCACTGACTATCCGGGATATTATATATACAAAGATCTGTATTATACAGATAGCTGAGCATATACCCCATGTCCCAATCTCTAGACTACTAGTACCTGTCAACAGCAGCTCCCAGACGTGTGTAACAGGGCTAAAGTGTGCGGCAGCTCACACAGATGATTCAGCGGTAAAGTGCACTCGCTGGCAGAGCCAAACTGGGAATCCCTGGGAATCCAAAGCAGCCCTGGAAAAAAAATGTATGCCATTTCTACACGTCAAAATATATATATATATATATATATATATATATATATATATATATATAGAGAGAGAGAGAGAGAGAGAGAGAGAGAGAGATAGTACAGTAAGCACACAAGCTCACTGACATGCGCAAATAGGCTTACTGACAGACAAAACTCTCTGACTCACACACAAGCTTACTACAGACACTCACTTGTATAAACAGAAGGCTCACTACAAAGAAGTTCAGGGACACACACAAGCTCACTAAAGACAAGCTCACTGACACACACATGCTCACTAAATAGAAGCTCACTGACACACACAAGCAGTACCATTTTAACAGAGTTAAGGGCCCCTGGGCAAAGCAATGCACTGGGGCCCTTCCTACACAACAACTCACAGCAATTTTAATTATTGATAGACTGTGGAGTCCATACACACACACAGACTGCCGAGTCCACACACAGACTGCTGAGTCCATACACACACACACACACACACAGACAGACTGCTGAGTCCATACACACACACACACTGCTGAGTCCATACACACACACACACGCACACACACTGCTGAGTCCATACACACACACACAGACTGCTGAGTCCACACACACTGCTGAGTCCATACACACACACACACACACACACACTGCTGAGTCCATACACACACACACAAACTGCTGAGTCCATACACACACACACACACAGATTGCTGAGTCCATACACACACACACAAACTGAGTGTCCCAATTTATTATACACACAACCCTGTATTATACAGAGAGCACTGACTGTCCAGGGATATTATACCCAGACAGTAATTGATAGCTGTGCTGCAAAATGTCCTTGGAATTTTTTTTTCAAATGTTGGCAACTATGGCACTGTATCAAGGGTAATGTGTTTGATTTTTTTAATAATCCCTGGTGGAAAATAATGAATCCTCCACTAGGGATTATTAAAAAAACAAAACACTTTGTGTCGGGGGCGGGGCTTAACATGCGACAGGGGCGGGGTCAAACTGTGTCGAGGGCGGGGTTAAATGTGCCCCCCTACTTTTGTCCCTGGCCCTCCATGTGCCCCCCTAAAAATGAATCCTAGAGACGCCACTGGGTATCTGTTAGTTAGTTACATGTAACTAAGATACTGTCATCAATGTACTGAGCATGTGCAAGAACTGAAACCACATTCCATTCTCATCAAGGGCCATGTTGCCTGTCCATTTAAGGTAATCCTGTGTATCCTGTTTGCTGATTGGTGTAAGGGTAAAGATGGGGGATGCATAGCTTATAAAAAGCCTCTACTCCGAGGGGCGGGGCCTGACCGCTGAGCCGAGCAGACACAAAACTGTATAGCTCCTGTAACAGCAGGCAAGAACTAAGCCAAAACCAGGCCTGTAGGGCATCAAACCGACACAAAAGTGCCACCAATGGTGAGGTGCCACTGTGGGGTACATGCGAACACCAAACAATCAGCACTTTGGGCATGACATGGCAGAAAATTACCTGCGGCCTACAGGCATGGCGGATGCGGGGGAGGCGGCCGCTTCCCTGCAGTCCACCACGGCGGTAAGCACGACAAAAAGCCCACGTTCCCCCACCTATGGACCGGCGGGGGTCATCCCGGTCCCAAGAGAGTTCGCCCAAGCAACGGAGCAGCACATCCAGACAGGGCCCATCCACCCCAGACTGGTGCCGATAGCAACTGGGCCGTCTGGCACAAAAGAGGGTCCAGATATTCTGGCAAGGCTGAATGCCATATTCGAGGCATTCTGGCGAAGAATAGAGAACCGACAAGCACTGACCCCAGGCACGGAGGTACACTCACCACCACTGCTGCCTTCACGCTCACAAAATCAAGGCTCACACCACGAGGAGAAACGAGCACAGAAATGGCGCCACAAGAAACGTCTCCTCCCGCCACCAAGCAGAACCTCGCGGGCGCATCCAGTAGCAAGGGAACCATCAGGCAAGCCTAAAGCCACTAAGTCCCGACCCACGCTCAGACCGATAACTCACACAAGCTACAAGAGACGCCGGCGCCGCAATACACACAGGAGCATGCCAAGGGGGAGCAGAAACCAGCAGATCCCAGGGGCAAACCGGCAACACAGCCAAACAGTGGAAAGATCGGACCCAAGACCACAGCCTAATCACACAACTAGACTGGGATGGAAGACATGCCGATGGCCCAATGAGCCACTGTGGGTCTGCCGACTGCCAGCAGAGGGAAGCAGCTACAAAGCCACCAGGGATGGCATTGGTTAAAGGGCAGAAAACTGAGATGGGGATAATTCAGGGTACCGACTACCCAAAGTCCGACCATACCCAGTTGTAAAACACTTTGATTTCCTGCCTTAGAAGCACGTTGTTCCACAATTTTGTTTTAACCTGACAGAACACAACATTAGTGATGCCCACTTCACCCCACCTTATGTTAAAACGCACCTCTATCTAGTTTCACTGCCAGGTAGTCAACTCACTGTACCCAGACCGCTCTCACCTCTCTGGGGCTGAAAGCACATCACACACACAGACAAAGCAGCCATACTGGAAATATCTTACCTAGCAGCTCCAAAACAAAGCAGAAATAGTCTAAAATCAACCTCTTGTATTATTACATTTCACCAAGTATCTTGAAATCCTCACCTACTAGGAATGCTGATGCTGTAATCGAACACTAGATAACTCACACAAGCGTGTTTATAAAACTGTTACTATACCTTAAAAATTAGTGCTTGACAATCGCAATGCTTTTATACCATGTAAGCTTTGTACCCTGTATTTTTTGTTCTATGCCGTTGGGGCATGAAAAGCGGTATGTACTCACCTGCACTACAAAAATAAAGAATTAAAAAAAAAAAAAAAAAGCCTCTACTCCATGTGCTTAGGGCTCAGATCTTTTGAACAGGAGTTCAGCTGAGACCCGGTTGGTGAACATAAACAACCTTTACTTCCTGAAATGACCTGTGTCCGGACTCTCTATGCGTTGCTTTTTCAGTGTTACTCGGTAACATATCCACTTCACCTCAATGGTGCTATTCGACTCTCATTTTAACGCTGCAACTTAAACCATTGCTGTTTTACAGGAACATAAATGTTTACAGTGCAGGGTTAACATGCATCTAGTGGCTGTCATCATGGCAGACACTATAGCTGCTTCTGCCCCATTAGTCGAGTAAAACTCAACTATTCAATCAGATGGTATCATAGAGACCATTTAATTGGTGCAGTGTTTTGCTGTGCATATGCATTTGCCTCCCAATGTTTTATCAATCTGCTGGACTCAGTTGTAGAGTTGGCACTTCAGCACAAAGACAAGCACACTGCAGGATATAAGGTCAGAGAATCATACCTTGGGGGGACAACACTGCATAGGTAGGGAAACACTATAGCATTACGATTACATGTTTGCGTTCCTAATGCGATAGTGTTCCTTTAAGTCAAGCCCATACTATACTACTCCTGAAACCAGGTAAAAACCTACAGTTTGCTAACACCTATCACATAACTTAACCAAGATTTGAAACAGCAAATTATTGGCTGAATAATATAAATGTTTTTGCCAGATATTTTACATCCACAGCAGTTGGAATTTATAAGGGGCAGACAGTTTTTTTTATTTTGCTTTTTAAAGGTGTTCGGACAGCTGTGTCAGCAGCAGCGGTAACAAGGTTTTTTTTTTTTCAGTACCTGGTGGCTCTCTGCTCTTATTTCTAAATGTTAAAAGGGCTTTTGCTTAAGTCTACTGGTTCCACATGTTTTGGATTTCTAAATTTCGACTTTTGAGTATTCCATTCTTTCAATTAAGCAAAACCTGTATAATTCCTCCTCAACATAAATAGCAATTAACAGTCTTTACTCGTCTCCGATCCTTATGGAAGGAAGGGGGCCTTCCTGGATCTGTATTCTCTTCCTTTCTTTTCAGTTTTTCCTTAATCCCTTAATCTGTATCTTACATTATCTTAATACATCCCCTAGGATTTCTATTGATGCAAGTAGAAAAGGTATCACAGCATTTCTGGATGATATCTTGCTCTATATATATGACTCAAACACTTGTCTCCCAATTCTTATGCAAACACTTCTTATGTAAACACTTGTCTCTCCAATTCTTTTTGGTCCCATTATATGCTATCACATTGTTCTGAGTGAAGCCCGATTATAGCTTTTTTAATTAAAGGGACACTATAGTCACCAGAACAACTACAGCTTAATGTAGTTGTTCTGGTGAGTATAATAGCTCCCTTCAGGCATTTTCATGTAAACGATGCCTTTTCAAGGACACCTCCAAGTGGCCACTCATCAGATGTCACAAAGGGGGCGGAACCAGTGTCGGTGGACCCACGCAGAGCTGGAAATAAGGTGAGTTTTAAACTTTTATTGGGGGGGCTAAAGGGGGTTAAGCCACTTAAAAGGTGGGTTAAACACTATAGGGTCAGGAATACATGTTTGTGATCATTTAAGGTAATAAGGAACCTTAATAACAAAAATAAAATTGATTTCATCTCTATACTCTTTATATCTTTATATACGTTATATAATATTAAGTATTCCAGTCAATTATGTGGTAAGAAATGCTATAAACTGTTGTAATCTGTAAAAAAATGATCTACTAAAAATAATAATTCAAAACAATATTATCATAGCGCATTATAATTATGCAATGATAACGATATGACTAACAATGATAACAATAACTAAACACTTTCCTTTAGATACAGTTACTCCTTAATAAATAAAGGTTTGTGTTCTCTGGCACATACTGTCACAGTT